TTATTTCTCAGAGAATTTAAGTTGGTTAGGGTCAGGTATCATTAACTTCATTTTACAGACCTTGAGCCTAAGGCAGAAGAACCAAAGGTCAGCTAACTTGTTTGAGGTCAATAGCGAATCTATAGTGTTGTTTGGAATAAAATTCTTTCCTTTTTCTATTATTTCTAACATACCATTTTTTTCTCATTACACACACACATACCATGCATGCAATCACTCAACATGTTTTACTGTTTACCTTACCTTTGTAATTTTACTTTTAATTTCTTTCTTCATTCTTAGTTTACTTATGTTCTCCGATTTCATTCATTCCCGGTGCACCTCATGTTATGGGGCTTTTTGCTTGTATCTTCAAATATTTACCTTAAAGCAAATGTTTTCTGTAACAATGAAGAAAGATAAAAATGAGCATAAATAAATAAAACTCTTTACACAAATCTTTTTCTTTTTAACTGCAATCCTACTTCTCTCTGTGTTATGTTTTAAAAATTAGTAGTCTGTCCTCAGTTTCTCCATTTCCCCATATATATACACAAATTGATCTTTTACTTCCTTTGCTCTAATCTCATAGAATTATTCTTCACAATTTAGAGATTTTAGGGTAACAATGACCTTCTAATGGATGAATCCTATGGGCATATGGTAGTCATAATTCTTTTCCATATCTGTGATGCCTTTGATCATAAAGGATTTTCTTTCTTTCCAAAGATGATCTGCTTCTAATCCTTCCAAGTTTCAAAAGTGATCTGGTTTTCTTATCCACCCTCTTTTTTTTTATCTTTTACTGCTGGCCCCAAATATGGAAACTATAACTGATTCCTCAAAGATATGTTTTCTATCAAAATTCTTTTAGAGGTGTCAACCCACAACTCCCTCTTTTGCAATGCCTACCCTAAATCCTAAGCAGGTTTCATGGCATTTTGTTATATCTGTTTCATTGGAAACCTAATCATATTCTATATCATCTGTTTTTATATACCTATACAATTTGGAATTTCTTAAATTTGTAGAACCATTGTTGGGACATCCTCGAAACCCTGAAACATAGTGAATATAGAACAAATGTAGGTATGGTGAAACAATGTCTAAATTCAAGCAGCCATACATTATAATGGCCTCACTGCCCATTACCGTTGCTGTTTCTCCAAAGTTCACTCTTTCTTGGCATAATTCTCTGCCTCCAACATTTCTTCTTCCTAGTCTTTTGCACAAAATTGCCACATCACATCTTCAATCTCATCCATTCAATTATATCATTCATTTGCTTCCCTAAAATCTTTGAGTACCACTCCCTCTTGTGTATAACTGTCACCCATTTTCCACTCACAATCTTTGGAATTCTTTTCTTGAATACCCCTTTCTTGCATTACTTATTTTCCTTTTGAACACATCTTTACAATTTCAAAGTGCTAGAAGGCTGACATTCTTTTCTCATCCTCTTGTGCCTTTTCCTCTTTGAGAAAGACCAGTTTGTTTTTGCACGACAAGAAATCATTTATCACTCTGGACAGAAAAATAGAAAACTCAGATACCCCAGGTCACTGCAGGTTTTCATGTCCATACTTTTGCATCTCAAGATGGAGTCATGTTTCTAGTTACTCTCCAGGGAAACACAATCCATGAACATTTAAGGGACCACCAGACTTCCTGGGACAGTTTGGGTTTTTTTTGACTGCTTTCAGTTGTAGGGTTTCTCCTTCCTCTCTCCTCAATGAAGTCCCTCTTCATTGCCTGGAGGGACTTTACAAGCTATTGATATCCAGTCCCACTTTGAACGCTGATTCATTGGGTTTAAGTTGAAACTGTGTATTGGCTTTGTGTTTTTTCACAAGTTCTCTGGGCCATTCTAAGGCACGTCTAGATTTAAGAATACCTGCTTAAACCACTCTCCTTCAGAGTATCAATAATTAACAAAGTGATAGTTAAATATATAATGCAAATCCATTCTCTCTGTCATGTCACACAGTCAACACTGCTTCACATATCTTATTTAGTCAGCATTTCTGGAGTATATGAATAATGTGAATTCTGTATTTTAATTCTCTATCTTCTCAGTAGACCCAACCTGATGATGAATGATGGTACATAAACACTTGTCTATCTGCCCATCAATCTGTCTCTCTATCTCTACTATCTATCATCATCCATCTATCTATCTAGTTTGTATGTCTGATTTTCCATTGGAATCAAAGCTTAACCCTTGCACCAATGGATTTACCTTCAGAATTTAGGATTCTGCACTAATTTGTTCACATTGCCAACTTAAATACTTTGCCAGAAGAATTTTGTTTTTACAAAATTATCAAAATAGAGCTTGAGATAGTAATATAATGCTATTGTATTGTTGAATTCTAATGGAATATTTTTAAATGTGGTTAAAAATGATGGGGTTTTTTCATTATCCATTGTGTGATGCTCTTTATTTGGGATTTTTATTGTGAATTATTTTTGTTTCAACCATTAGGTTATTTTTTTTAAAAAGCTTTTTATACAAAATGAAGCATTCATGAATCTAAATATTTGTTATATAAATAGATCTTAGTATTTTAGATTTGTAATACCTTTTCTTTCATCATTAAATTTAATATGTAACCTAAAATAATTCATGGAAATTAAAACACAATAAATATAGGGTAAGAAATGAAGAAAATGCACAGAATCATAGAAGTTGTAATACAGTACATGATAGAAAGATCATTATTTTATTTTTGACATTTTTCATTGCAAACATAGCCTCTCACCTTTGTGCTGTCCTATTACTACTTTTGGTGGAACCAGCGTTTAATTACAGATTCAGAGTTTCCTACCTTCAGCTAAACATCACCGTCTTTTCTACTTTTATATCAAAATGAAACATTTCTCATAATTTCTTATATACTTTCCTCCGTCAATTTATTAGTACAAATTATGTATTTCTGTATTCGTTTTGATCTTTCCTCTTGGGTTAATAAAGACTGAGCTAAAAGATTTGAAAATCATTAAAGCAGAATCAAGAAGAGCATTTGACCTTCCTTTCTCTCTCTCTTTCTTTACATGTATATATTAACACATTGCTATGTCTTGAAGTGATACATTTGAATGACCACTGGAATTCTTTTCTAAATTCAGCATTGTTATTTAAAGCTCATTGTTCAGTAGTATTTACTAAGCATTTTCTTTGTGCAGAACAATGTGGTTTTAGGAAACTACTGGCAGCGTTGTTTCTGAGATGAGACTGAAGAGATCCAGATAATTTGCTGGGAGTGATAAATAGAAAAAAAATTAAAAGAAAATATATGCACATAAGATAAAACATAGTAAATACAAATTGATTTCTACATTTACTTATATATATGAAATATCATACTATTGTAAAGAAATGTGAGAATTATTACTGAAATAAGAGTAATGTTCCTAGAATTTATTGCCAGTAAATTTGGGGCTGTGATGTGTATACTGTTTGTACTAGAAATATTTCATAATTGTTTTACTACAGTTCCAATTCAATGAAATACTATAAAGAAGAGAATGTACTTTAAATGTTTTTCCTTTACAATAGGATTCAGCGGTTTTAAAAGTTGATTTTGAAGTAGAATGAATAATAGAATTTTATAAAGTTTGTACAATCCAAATAAGTACATGGAAGGTAAGGTACTGAGTTAAAAATGCCAATAATGGACAATATTCCTGGCCAGTCTTCTGAGACAAGATAAAGGGAAGATTTGCAGAAGCATGTGTTTGTCTGTAGCAAAACCAATTTATAAATTTGGGGGAAATTCCATAACTGTTTGTAGCTTTTCCTTTAATAACCTACATGTGTAGATTATCCTTAACACTTTAAAAATCATACCGGTGCCAGTTCTGACTAATAATTTGTACCACTAGTATTCAGGTTATAAAAGGGCAAAAAAGGCTTTTTACCTTTCTTACTATTTTCTGGCAACATTAGTTTTATGCTTTATGTTAAAAAGAACCAGTCTGAGTCATATGTTTGAAAAATACATTTATGCCGTTTTCAAATCATGCAAGAGTTCTTGATGGATACAACTATTGCCAAGAATAATCTCAGACAGATATTACAGAACCTTTTTGTATTTTTTTTCCAATTATTATGTATGTAGCACTATCAATGCATGAGATTAGTTTTTTTCCCTGAATGAGCCTAAGGTTTTTAATTTATTTAGTAGTTACAATAATTTGTAAATTCTATACATAGTAAATCTTCGGTGCAGCCAATTTCAGTATCACAGTAAATTGTGGGATAAAAATATGCAACACTTTTAACATATAATTTAAGGACACTACATGATATAAATTTTTGTTTTTGAACAAACTATAAACAGTCATAGTAACGCATACTTTTTGGTTTATTTTCTATTCCCTGGTTAAAGAAATGTTTATCTATTATTTTAATACCACCCTTACAATATCAAGGTCAATAGGTAATATTTCTAATGTGACTAAAGTAAGAAATACATTTCTATTTCCCAGCACTGCATCTAAATTCTTATTCATCAGTTGTACCTTTAAGTTTAAATCACCTGCCGGAACACTCATTTTAAAACCATTATATCATATAGACAAAGGTTTTAAAACTGAAGTTTTTATTAAAAATGAATTCTTACGATGATTACTTCAATATTTATTGCCTTCCAAATCGGTGACACTTGTTTTTATAGAGCCTATTTGTGAAAAGCATACTGGAAGTAAAGACTAAGGAATAGAAAAAGGTTGAATATGTGGTACTAACATAGATTTAAATGTGTGTTTTAGTGAAATTGCCGTTTTCTTATCTCTGTTTCAGAAGGTGAATTTTCCGGGTTTTTTTTTTTTTTTTCATAATAAAATCTAAGTTCTAGGACTTGCCTCAGATAATACAGTTGACCAAATAGCTTTCAACATCTCTAAGCATTTTGTATTGAATTAGTAGTCAGTGCTTGATGTATGTAATGTGTGTGTTGTTTAATAAGATCATTTACAATCTTATATTTTAGTGACATTCAGAATCTTTTCTTTTGCAGCCATTTCGTAGAGTGACGTTTTCTGTTGTGAGTCAGCCTCAGGACCCACATCAGGGGTCACTGCAGAGTTGCTATGACAGCGGGCTGGAGGAGTCAGAGACACCAAGCAGTAAGAGTTCATCAGGGCCAAGGCTGGGTGCCCTTCCACTCCCAGAGGACAACTATGAAAGGACCACGCCGGATGGCAGTGTTGGTGAGGCAGAGCATATGGAAAATGGTAGGGGCAAACACAGCATCCACACACATAATCACGCTAGCGAGCCATAATAAGTAGACTCGTGAGGCTCAGTCTAAAACCCAAATAAAATAGCTGACACTAAAACTATTTTACCTAAAAAAAATAAATATTTGCTAAAGGACAGAAATGCCAAATAAAGGAACATAACCTTATAGATAAAATCCACCAAACTTGCACCATCATTTTTAAAACAGCCTGTCAGAAATAAACACATTTTCAAATAAATCGGAGTAGTACCTGCTATGAAAACAAACAAACCTAAATTAATTCATAATACCTAAACAGTAGCAACTGAGAAGGGTCTTGTGTTATTGTTTTCTTCTATTCATTTTTGTCATGCAGCTATTTCTTCTACTGTAATTGTTCAGCCTTAGTGAAAGGAGATGACAACAAACACACCTTGCTCTTTCTTTTCCTAGGTATTTATCAAAGCATTTGCGAGCCTCTCCTTTTGAGTGATAGCTGAAATGGAGTCAAACAAGGAGAACAGTGTTATCTTATTCTCCAGAAATGTATTGTAAATACTATTAGAACTCCCCTCTCATTTAAGTATACGTCGTGGTTCTTTGTTTTTTTTTGTTTTTTTTTTTTGGTTTTTTTTTCTCATTTTTGTGCAAGGGAAACGGAAGAAAGCAAATTTTAGGACTCCAGGTTCCTATCCTGTTGTGAAATGATTCTCATAAGGGCCACAACAATTGGCCTCCTATACACTTCCTTTTAAGTTATAAAGTTAGATTTCAAATAGTATTTACAAACCTTGTCACGTTGGTTTATGTTCCCCAAAACAATTAAATGATGTATTTTTTTTGGATTTCAGGTTATAAGTAAATGCCTGAGAAGTAGGTTTGTGTGAAATAATGGAATGGTAAAGTTCATACTAAATTTATTATTTTTCAAGTATATAAAGAGATTTGGTTATATGTAGGGGAAGGAAGGGGAACCGCACACATTTTATCTGTAGTGAAAACTCGAAATGGATTTGTCTTTCACCATCCCAACCCCCAAGTGAAATAAGACTTCCTAACTTTTTGTTATATACCAGTTTCTTTAGTGATGGTATGCAAATAAAGCATATTAATGCAGGAAAATCTGATTTTTTTCTTGAAGTTTACCTATGAATATTAAAATCCAACCTTAGAGAGTAATAGATATAAATGACCCCAAGTGAAATTATGGCTAAACTAAATCATGTTAAATAATTATTTTTTCACATTGTTATCTGGGTGAGAATATGCGGTATCAGGGTCAGATGACTGATATCCCCTTTTGATTAATAATCCAGAATTAAAATGGCATTTTGCCTTATGGCTATAAAGGCATGCTTATCTGTGTGTATGGTGGTGTATGCTTACGTGGATGGGAGTTTGATGTGGTTTTTAAGAATTAAGTACTTTTAGTATCTATTTAAATGACTATAAAAATTTTGGTATGAATTGCATTGCTGATGAATATATTTCTAAGGCAAATATGTATGAAATGCTTTGCACAAAAGTAAAAATTAAAATGCTATAATAATATTATACACACACACATACACCTAGGAAGGCAGGATTGATCTAATTTAAGGACATTCCTATACTTGTGATTACCTTTTGATAATATACTTTTATTTGTGTTTTAAAAAGTATCTCACAATAAACAACATAATGTATAATTAAGGCTTGATTTTTGGATGTCAGCTATATTAACAGAAAGGACTTGTATCATTGGCAATATAATCACATTTTAATATTATTTTTCTGTTTTTCGAGTTTAAGGGGATTCAACACCTTTAAAATAAGTAAAAAATGATGAGTAATAAGCATAATTATATAAGGCAAACACATATTGGTTACTTTTTAGGAAACACACATGGAAAACTTAACAGGTGAGCTTGTTAAGAAACTAGAAAGAATTTGCTAAGAAACATTTTCCAAGTAAGGCTTTTAGTTATTTTTTATAACCATGTTTTCAGTCTTGTCAACAGCAAAGACTCTCATAATGGAAATGATTTTTCTGATTTTTGTATGTGACTGACACTTGAGATTCAGTTTTATAAAATCAGTTGTCATCTGCTGTGATTCATGTTAGCCCTGATCTATAGGTAAAGACAGAAGGAGATGTGATTCACTTTGGGTGATCCAAATGTAGCTGTTGACATTTGAATAAGTTTTGTTGGGTCCAAGTTTTCAGACTACTATCTAGCCATAAAGTAAAATTGTATTGCTTGAATTCTGGTAATTTCATCTTCAAGATTAATGGATCATTCTGACATAAATAGAATGGGAATTGAAACCTGTCAAGTATTCATTTGTCACATTTAATTGGAATCCAGGTAATCTGCAGCGTTTTACTTGGTTAGATTTTAATCAAGATTTGTATTGGATTTTCCATGAAAATACCATTTTGGATGCTGTCCTAGTTCCTAATTATTATTACCTCAAATATTTCCCTTGAATTTTAAACTACGTGAAACAATGCAGTTATAACTGATATTTGGATTAACTTCCATTGTAAAGTTTAGAAGATAATTTCCAATGCAATAATATAACATCCCAAGGTCATAATACTACCTCGGTATACATTAGAACAGTTAATGATGAAAATAAGTTGTCATGAAGTAACTAAAAATAACTAAAATACCTAAAAGGAAAATTTAAGTAGATAGGCAGTGAAATGCACTTATGTTTTACAAAAGCTTTTATTTGCTTCCTATATTTTAGCATAATAAACACAATTTCATGAAGAAGGCCTGTGGATTAATCAGCTTTATAATAAGCTTTATCCTACATTCCAACCCACCTTACTGCCAAATGATGAATGAGGTTTTTTTACTCTCTTATTAGCTTAGGAAAAAGAATACACTGTAAGAATCAACATAATTTCATGAAACCTGAATCTAATAATTAGAATCAGTCCCACAATTTTAATAATTTCAGATCTGGGTATTTATATCCATGGGTCTCTGGAAAACAGTAATGGAAATGATATCATTAAAAAAATCAAGAATTTTTTATGAATTATACATTAATTCATAAAAAACATCACTAATATATTTTTCTTTGCTCTTCATGAATTATTATCAATATGATGATTTCATGTTGATCTTCTGATAAGATTGGGGAAATTGGTTATTTATTATTTCAATAAAATACACCTGGTGGGGTAGGATATTTTATTTTATTATTTATTATGGGGGGGCAGAGGGAGAAGGAGAGAGAGGATTTTAAGCAGGCTTCACGCCCAGCATGGAGCCCGACGCAGGGATCTATCTCACAACCCTGAGATCATGACCTAAGCCAAAGGGATAAAATATTTTAAAATATGAGGTTCATGGTAGGACATTGAGTAATGATAAAATATTTGATAATGGAAGTGTTAAAATAATTGAAACCTACTGTAATGAATTCATAATTCAAGTAAAAACCAAATATTAAGCTTAAAACCATCATCATATGAAGAGCATAAATTGACTATGCAAGAGCTTGCCCTTATCTACATCATGCAGTTGTCTTCAGATTTTCTCTTGGAGCAGTATTTAACAGTTTCTTTAGATCTATTATCAGTATTTATCTTGACCTTTGACTTCATGCCATAGTCTACTTACTCTTTTCAGTTACCCCTGGATTACCTTTGCAAGTCCAATTTGGCTTTGCTCTGTATCCTGTAACCATATATAGTGTTTAACAACTCAAATATAAGAAACACTCCATTTGACCTCCAATCCCAATTTTGCCATTAGGGTTGGGTAGGTCACTTACTCCTTCTGGATCTGCTTCTAATCATCTGTAAGGCAGTTAACAGAATTAAATCTAGAACCTTACTCAGATCCACCAACCTGTGATTTTCTCTTTATATCCAATTTCTCCTAGATGATTTACTCTCCAAATCGAAAGAGAGCTTTGGGTAGATTTTAAAAAGTTAAATGAGTTAAAAAATTTAGCCACTCTAACATGCCCAACTAATTTTATGTCTCTTGATTTTCTCAGGTATTTAAAAGGTAATTTTGATTTTTATACACTAATATTTCTGAGCCCCCCCAATTCCAAACTTTCTTACTTTTTCAGAAATATATGTTAGGCTTGATCATTGTTTTATTCATTATCCTTATTCCACATGTTTTCAATAGTATTTAGAGTACACTGCTTTTGAGGAATAAACCATGGTACAGTCCATCATGAACCCATTTTGTATCTGCCGTAGACTTTTCACATTGCTCTCAGAAATACTGAGGGTTGCTGGAAGGGGCAGGGGTGGGGAAGGGCTAACTGGGTGGTGGACATGAAGGAGGGCACGAGATGTAATGAGCACAGCATATTATATAAGACTGACCTCTACCTCTGAAACTTATAATACATTATATATTAATTAATTAAATTTAGATAAAATTAAAACATTTAAAAAAAGAAATAAATGAGTATAATTGAACTATCAATTGGAAATGAAACACCATTTTAATAAGACCAAGGATAATGAGAATGGAGTCTAGACTCATAACTTTGTGTGGGATAAAGGGCTCTCTCTCTACTTTTCTCCCACCTACCCAATTTCCAACAGTCACTTTTAAGGTCCTGCCATCTAGTCACCATTGGTTTGTACTGTTTTCAGTTAGATTGAGTTAAGTAGCAATACTGTGTCTTCCATCTTTCCAAAAATGCTCAAACACTTGTTAACGGCATAAAAATAATACCTCAAAACAAATGCTCTGCAAATGCCCTTTTTTTTTTAATTTCTGCAGGAAGAGATTAACATACCCTGGAAAGGATTCTTTTGCATGGTTCTGCTTTTCTGCCTGGGGTTCTGTTGCCAAAGGTGGACTGCATTTTCTGCTTTTCTAGCCATCTGTGAAATGGCTTTGTGCCTCCCAAGTATCCCCAAGTTCACATGCCCCCACTTCTGGAGGACTTTACTAACTTCTGCTTTTTCATGGTGATTAGAGACAGAAGGTAATTATAGAGGTTGTCTGCAATCAAGAT